GTCAATGCTGTGAGTACTTGGGTTTTTGCTTACCTTTTCGTGTTACAAAATATGTTGGCTTTTTTATGATATCTAAATTAAAAAGTGTTTGTGTGAATTTAGCTCTGTATATGTTTAAAGGCCTTTTATGAATGTAAAGCCTTTAGAATGTAATATGATTTCTCATGAAATGAATATCAAGAGGTGCATATTATTATGATTCATAATTTTGAAAATGTATTAAATCATTTGACCTGAGTTCCACACTTCATAAGTTACGTTGATTACATTTGCTAAGATTTAACCCTGGTCTGTGCTCCCTTGCAGCCTGCCCCAGGCCCCTACGACCACAGTGTGGATGACCGCGAGCACACTGTGGACCAGTGGAAAGAGCTCATCTACAAGGAGGTGATGGAATATGAAATGGTCCACAACTCCCCGGGTGGGGCAGGGGCTGGGGCAAGGGGCCCCGCACCCACCCATGGTCATGCCCCCCCGGCGGCCACCAATGCGGCTGCCGATGGGGACCAGGACCAGCATCGCCCAAACCACAGATAGGGCTGCCCTCAACCCTCTTAGCAGTCCCTCCGCCCCAAGCCTGCCTCCCAGCCACCTCCTTGGTTTGCGCACGGCTCACGCGCAGAGTCCCTCGGCCAGGATGCTGGGGCCCACACACACGGGAGTGAACCCTCGAGGCCGCGTCTGATTCCTCTGTCGGCCGCGTCATCGGGAAGGCCACCTTCGATCTCCGCAAGAGCCGGGTGTGCGGACCAGTATTCCTCAGTGGTTGCTGTTTTGACGCTCGTCAATTTTTACAGCTGTGTGTGCGTGTGTGCATCATCTTTCTGGAGTAACTGTCACAGGTTCCCTGTTGTGACTGGTGATAAGACTGGGTACTGCAGGTTCTTACTTCAAGGTTCTGCACAGAGCTGGAATTTCCGTGCAGTCATTTGACATTTATGATAACCCTCTTGTGCTTCTTGGCTGAGGCACTTGATTCTGTGTAGTCCACACCATCTTCTGTGTCCATTTTGTGTTGTGTCTGAGTGAGTGTGAGAATGCATGCATCAGGTGTTTTGAAAACGCCATTCAAACCATGATGATATAGAAAATATATGCAATTTAGATACTGTAAGCTGTAGATACTTTCCTGCTTTATGTCTCACCAACATCAGAGAGAACCTGTGTATTTAAATGTTACTATACTCTGTGACTACGATTAGTTTGCAATATGCAATATAACGAGTCCCCTGTACCGTGTGAATTGCTGCAAGCGGTCACCTGTCTTGCTCTGCTTATGCCAGTATTTTCCCTGACTTTACTGCTTGTTGAGTGTTCAGTAAGGAAATGGAGTTTTTGGAAAATGACAGCGCAAAGTGGTGCCAGAGCTTTCCACTAGAAAGCTTTGCTTGAGGCTGCAAAGGGAAAATAATGCAAAGCATATCAAATGTTGATAATGTGATGATGGACGCTTCTTTACAACAGGGATTGTGAAACCTCGTTTAATTGTATGTGAAAAGTTGTGTGAGGAGATCTGTGTGTTGGGCATGCGTTTCAAAAAAACAAAAAGATAAAAAAATATAAAAAAATATATATACAAAAAATAAAAAAAAAATAAAAGACAGAATAAGAAGTGTTGGAGATCTATCCATGAGATGATTTACTTTTTTGTCTTTACTCCTTTTAGCGTACCAGTTCTTCCATGGGTCTCATAGGCAAGCAACCTACAAATGTACAGTCGTGTCAAGTTTGTATTTCCTGTACAGACCAAACTCCGTTGTTTTTTTTGTCATGTGACTTGTATGGTATAAAAGAATATATATAAGAAAAAAAAGAACAGAAAAATAGGAGCGAATTGCGATTGTTTGCAACATTTTAGGATCCAAATATACCATTTCATATTTAGGCAGAACATGACGTCCCAACCTCTGCAGAGGACAAGCAGAGTTTCCTTCATCTCTCTCTCTCCGCAGTGATGTTCACTTAAGGTCTTGAGATGGATGAGAACGGCCAGTAAGGGACACAACTCCAGGAGAGTCCGCTGCTATTTCCGCTGTCCTCTTTAGAGCCTATCTGATTTATCCGTGTCGAGAGCCACCACCTCCCCTTTCCGACAGCTCACCCTCCATTGAGGATATCTTCCTTCCTTCCTCCTTTCAGTTCTAGCTTGGTAATAATCATAGTCGTGGGGCATTGTCCAGCGAACGAGGTCCCCCTTTTCTTTGCACGTGTCTCTGGTGGTGAACGGCCCAGAGTTTTGCCTCTTACTGGAATGGCTCGAGTCCGTCCACCACTCAGCTTGCAGAGGTGACGTTTCGGGTCCCAGGCATTCGGGTCGGCTTGGCTTGAGTTTCTTGTATTACACACGATGACGATGATGATTAAATTGTAGCAATATATCTCAGTGTAAAGTGATCAGTTCTTTAGCAAGGAAGTCAGGCTACACTCCTTATTTTTCCATTATCACAATTTTGGTAAATGATACATCATATATATATATTTATATATATATATATATATATATATATATATATATATATATATATATATATATATATAAATATATAATTATATACACATACACCCACACACACACACACACATACATAGATATGCATATATATATACATATACACATATATATATATATATATATATATATATATATATATATATATATATATATATATGTATATATATATATATATATATATATATATATATATATATATATATATATATATATATATATATGTGTATATATATATATATATATATATATATATATATATATATATATATATATATATATATATATATATATATATATATATAAAATGTGTGTGTGGGTGTGTGTGGTGTGTATGTATATGTATATAAGAATATATGAAAAGAAGCAGAGGTAGCTGTGGCAGACTGTTAAGTTGTTTTAGGGGCAGTTGATTCCTTTCCGAAAATATTACTTGTGAGCACCTTAAAACAACGTAGAATAACCCTGGACAGCTTCACATTTTTAGCATCGTAAACATCACACTCTCTCTCAAATTCTTTCCGAGCCTTCCTGGCAGCTTGTGGTGGTCCAGAGTCCCGGCACCTCACACGTCCCATTGTGGAAACGCTTAAAACGAGTCCAACAAATCCTGTTTAGCACGAGTCTTTGTTCCGAGACAACCCCCCCAACCACTCCCCCCTGTATTTTGGTAGGAATTTGCGGTTTTAGTGAAACATCCAAGACTGTATCAGGAAGTCTTGCATAATTGTTATATAACTTATCTTTGTTTTGTTTATTTTTTTTAAACACCCTATGTTGTTAAAGTTTTTTTTTTCTGTTCTCATGATTTGTGTCATATTGACTGACTCTCTCTCTCTCTCTCTCTCTCTCTCTCTCTCTCTCTCTCTCTCTCTCTCTCTCTCTCTCTCTCTCTCTCTCTCTTCCATTCATCTAATTACTGTAAGTTTTGCTGATTTGAATTGACAGGTTATTAGCTTATTTAATGAAAGGGTTTAGTTAAAGATCATTTTTAGAAGATCCATGAATTTGTACTTAATATTGGAAAAGTTCCCCCCACTGGTCCATTGAGTGTTCCTTGTTGCATTGACTTCAGTTTTGACTTTTTCCACATGCATTCAAATGGGTGTTAGCTATCAGGGAAAACTAACCACTTAAGTCAATTTTTTTTTTTTTTTTAACATAAATTATTCAGGGAATATAATTAGTTGAAAGATGAAGAGCAAAAAAAAAAAAAAGAAAAAAAAAAGAAAAAAAAAAAAAAACTCTTTCATATATCGTATACTAATGCAGATCTTGTAATGCTGCTCAACGTTTTTCTGTTCTTAAAGTGCATCGTAAGTTGGTTGAAGCGTTAAGGACTTTTCACGTTTTTTCTTCATTCAACCTAATATAGACTAGATTGAAAACTGAATAGAGTAAAAGCAAGCTGTGACGGCAAGATTCCTCTCCACTTCGCGAGTATATTGATGGAACTTCGACACTAATGGCAGAGAAGTCTTCCATTTCTCCACCTTTATGATTCCGGAGATCAGTAAATAAATCATCCAATGCTCCTTTTTACTGTTGTAAGGAAAAAAAAAAAAAAGTTAATGAAAAGGTCTTTGCTTAACTTAAAAAAATACTGTAATGTCAATTCTATTATTATCCTTAAAGGTTTTATATATACCGTTCTTCTGACTTATAGCTTCGAATTTTCCCCATTGTTAAAAAAAAAAAAAGAAAAGATCATGTATTTTCTTAACACTCAGCAACTTTTGATGCAGCACTTGCTCCTTCTAAATGCCTTCTCCATATTCAGGTTTGCAAGAATGGCCCACAAAGCCATGGTAATTGTGTACTGGAAACACATTCATCTCTGTGAATGGAGAGGTTACAATCAGTTACTTTGTTGGGTTTTCTCCACTGTGTTGAATCATAGGAACAATACGAGTGGAACCGTTAGGAAGGCATTCTTGGTTTTCCTCGTGTGATGATGAAGAAAGAAGTCCAATATGGGAGACATAGAAAAGGGGTGGCTGTTGTGCCAGCCGACAGTGCTCACCTGATGGCATTACCTGGTGACAGAGTTGCCAAGCAGGACTTTAAAGCCTCCCCCTTTTTAAAGCTGGGTCAGTAAGAGCGTTTGCAGTTTTGTCGTGACTGCCAGGTCGTGATGTGTGTCTACTGGCAAGATGGATTTTGTTTGTGAATATTTTTCAAAGTCTTTCAAATTACAGAAGAAAGTAATGTGAATGTTGTAGTTAAAACAATGTGATGTGGTTTGAATTTAGTACTGAAGCATCTGAAAAAAGGAAAAGGAAAAAAATAGTAAACAACAACAAAAAAAAGAAAGAAATATCCAGTTAAGGAAAGAAAAGAAGAAGAATGCTCATCTGAACTTATTTTGAAGAAACCTCAAATTCAAAGCACGATACTCCAAGATTTAATTTGACTGGATTCAAACCAACTTCCTTTGTACATTCCAGGTTTTGTTTGTTGGAAGCTCATGTGCAGGCCACTGGTAGGGAACTTGTTTGTGTATGCTGATTCTGAGGGCCACCCCCACCCACCCTCCCACCCCCTGTAGATGCTAGAGCCGCCAGCCCTGTGACTTCAGACACAACTTTAGCGGAGAAAACTACTGTGTATGCTAGCTCACCCTAGAACTTTAGTAGAGTCCACTAGTGTGACATTTTAGTGACGAGTTGTACAAAATATGTGCCATGTATCGGCACTGCGCAGTGTCCATTTACCCAGGGTTGGTCGGAATTTTGTTGGACTCTTATATTTTTTCCTTTACGTTCAATGAGAACCTTAATCTTTTTTTTTTTTTTCAGCATTTATGAGGGTGCATGCAAGGGTATGTAAAGGGAAAATAAAGATAAAGAAACAAAAAAAAATTATAATAACTAAAAGTGTAATAATAATCTAGAAGCATTTTATGGGTGTGGAATTGGCCACTGGAGGACAGGAAGTCAAAACCTGTCTTATGTAATGTTTTCTTAGTGCTCAATACAGGATGACAAGCGCTCTGTGTATTTCTCGCTCACGTTCAGGAGTACGCAGTGTTTCCAGATCATCCTTTATAGGTGTTGAAAATGGCCACCACTTGTTACCCTCCTCCACCCACAGCTCTCACATTCTTTAGTGTTTATGACTGATTGTGACAAATGCAAACGCGTGAAAACGTTGTGTGCGCATGA